CCTGCTCAGGGGCACCACGCAGGTGCTGCATGTGTGACATGATGGGGGCTCCAGTTTCCCAGGAGAGGGAACAGCCTCCCGGAAAGGCCGTTTGGGACTGCACAGTAGCAGGAGCACAGCCCAGATGTCACGTCATTCCCAGCTCATTCTGTAAATGTAGGCTCATCCTTCTTTCCTCTTATCAGCAGTTGCTGATGCTGATTTCAGAGCAAGGCAGTAATTGCACTTCTTACAAATGACTTTCCTTTGGCCTTACTTTTACAGTGTTCTGCTGCCTTTAGACCAAGCTTTCCTTATCAACAGAAAACACACACTCTGTCTGCATGTCCACACCCTGCAAGGAGACTCAGATTCATGGCACTGAGTGACCTAAATTATTTAGCATGCCAGTAGCCTCTGGAGCAGATGGCTACTGCCTGTCACTGCTCCCTTGGCTGAAGGGACATGTTTCAAAGGCTGCCTCCTTGTGCCTGATCTTACAAATGCCCCTGAGCTGCCAAGATGTTAATAAAGTTCCCTCCCTTTGAGTGACTGGAACGTGCTCTCTGCAGAGTCCCTCACAGGCAGTTTTTAGGCAGTTTCAGCAAGCTTTTGTAGTAAATATCTGTGGGTCCCTGAGAGGAGGAGCAATGAAGCTGCCCATGGGGAGAGCACTGCTATCACGCTGCAGCTCTGTGTGTTGCCAACGTGACATAGTAAGTCCATCCCTGCAGATCCTACTCGTGTTTGAGGTGAGCTGTTCTGCTGCATGTTTTTCAAACTCTCTCTTTGCCTCCAGGTTTCCTATCTTCCTTTCACGCAAGCTTTTGAGAGAGCAAAAGCAGAAAAGAAGCTGGTGCACTCGATCCTGCTGTGGGGTGCCCTGGATGACCAGTCCTGCTGAGGTGAGGGCTGCTCCCACCTTGGGCAGGGGAGTGATATGCATAATCCAGGGACTCGGAGTCACGGAGGAGCCAGTGGATCCTTAGGCTTGATCCTAAGTGCACTAAACCAGGCAGCCTCCTTGGCAGGCTGGTTCTGCAATGCCTTTGGTTGCCTTAAAAGCAGCCGGCATCTGCTCTGAGCCTTCTCTGCCAGCAGCATGCACTGGAAATGGTAAAATATGGAAAACTGCCAACAAGTGAGAAAATAGACGATGGACCTGCTTGGGGAGGCCTGAGCCAGCTGCCACAGCAGCCAGCCACTGAGCAGAGCAGTGGCTTCAAACATGGCAACAGTGACCTCAGAAGTGCACCAAGTAACTGTCTCCCACCTTTCCTGTGTCAGGTTCGGGGCGAACTCTCCGGGAGACCGTCCTGGAAAGTTCGCCCATCCTCGCCCTGCTCAACGAGAGCTTCATTAGCAGCTGGTCGCTGGTGAAGGAGCTGGAGGAGCTGCAGGTGAGTGTCACAAATGCCCTTGGCACAGGTGAAGGCAGGGGGTGCCCGGCACCAGGGTGCAGGTAGGAAGGGGGAGCTCACGCCTGTGCTGATGGGGATTGCAGTTCCAGGCCCTCTGTGTCTTAGCAATTGCAATGGCAAAAGAAAACAAACACCAGATGGAGTCAGGCTAAGGACACAGTGATCCCCTTCACTCTGTTATAGTGCTAATATTAAAAACTAAACCAGATGCCTCATTGAGAGATAGCCCAGCCCGGGACCATTTGTGCCATCGACAGACTGACAACCCTGCGCCTCCTCACTGCACCTTTCCATGCTCGTAAGCCTGCCTCTGGCACATGCTGTTATTTGGGGGCAGTCACAGAAGCTGTGAAAAGCCCTGATCAGGGTGTTTATGCGCCCGAGAACTGCCAGGGACAGGGTGATCTTACTGCGATCTGCTGCTAGGGTCTGTGACAAGCAGGAAACCCTGACTGAAAGGGAACAGTAAAGCACATGGTGAGAATGGAGCCAGGCACGGCGCTGCAGGGCAGCCCCTCCAGCCCGGGTTAGTTCATTCCTCCTGCTGTGCTCTGCTAGCAGTGGTGTGTGCAGCCTGCTTCCCTTGGGCTCTCTTTACAGACCAACAAAGAGAACGAGTTCCACAGCAAGCTGGCTGCCCTGCACCTTGCGAAGTACAACTTCCCCGTGGAGATGATCATCTGCCTCCCCAACGGCACGGTGGTAGGTTTGTCACCCCTTCAGCTGGGCTTGTCTCTTCCCCTCAGCCCGCGTTCTCTTCCTCTTCCCCAAACACGTCGCTCCCCGGGGAGAGGAGATGGCGTCATCCAAAGTGCTTGGAAGACACCCAGCTGGTTCAGGCTCTATTACTGGAAGTGTGGTGCTGTTTATCAGGATGAGGGTAGGACACATGGAACAGAATGAGCTCCAGCTTGCAGGAGGCACTGGAGTCGCATCCAGAGATGCCCACGAGGCAGGGTGTTGAAAGGCCTGAGAAGAGGTCAGTGTCCTGCAGACTGATGTCCTTATGGGCCCTTGTGCCCTCAGGCTTGCTGGGCCTGGACAGGACTAGAGGCTGTCTCCTCTGTCCAGCAGCAGCCCAGAAAATACAGGGGCACCTGTAGACCTGAAGCTCGTATCAGCTTCCCGAGCTGTTCCCTGCTTCCCCAGGCACTCTGTGGGGCTGTAGTCCCTTGCACTGCTGGGCTCTTGGGTATTGTGACAGACAGTAGCATGTGCTCTACCAGGAAATATGCATCAAATGCACTTTTATTCAGAGTCAGAAGAGAGAGAATACCTCTAGCAGGAAGGGAAAGCAATTGAGCTTCAAACATTTCTTCATTCTGTCCCATAGAATGCTTGGAAGGGACCTCTCGAGGTCATCTAGTCCAACCCCCCTGCACACGCAGGGTCACCTAGAGCACGTGGCACAGGACTGCGTCCAAGCGGGTTTGAAGATCTCCAGAGAAGGAGACTCCACAACCTCTCTGGGCAGCCTGTTCCAGTGCTCTGGCACCCTCACTGTTAAGAATTTTTTCCTTAAGTTCCTGTGGAACTTTTGATGCTTTAGTTTCCGGCCCTTTCCTCTAGTTCTGTCAGTGGCCACCAGTGAAAAGAGGCCAGCACCATCCTCCTCACTCCCTCCCTTGAGGTACTTCTAGACACTGCTCAGGTCCCTCTCAGCCTTCTCTTCTCCAGCTGAACAGGCCCAGCTCCCTCAGCCTCTCCTCATAGGGCAGATGTTCCAGGCCCCGATCATCCTTGTAGCCCATCCCCATGTTGCAGCTGGCAACCTTTGGAAAGCAATTGTAGCTTGTGTCATGCACCCTCTTTCTGTCCTTCGTGTTCATGCTTTAGAGAAAGTCTCTCCTTATCAACGTTCTAGGATGTTTCTCTCTCTCTCTTTTTTTTTTTTTTTTCCCTCTCTGGGCTTGTCACTGCAGATCAGTCATTAGCAAGTCAACAAGCCTTGGATCTGAAGAACAACAACAGCCCGTGACACTTGACGCGGCAGCACCGCGCTCTGTGTCAGCGGCTGGGCTGTCTGACGGGGAGGATCCTGTCAGGTTCCTGCCAGGCCAATCTGAGGGTGCCCCACACTTGCCAGCTCCCACTTAAGAACATTTGCAGTGACTTGTTGCTGTCTCTTTAGTGGCTGCCCTCCAAATTAGGCTGTTGACTGCAGAGCTAGTGAGTGACCTCAGCTCAGCGAGTTGCAGCCTGTCAAGGTTGCTGTGGTCATTGGCCACATGTCCCCCCTGCCCATCTCCTCTGGGAAGCAGAAGGCACGGGGACATTTTAAGCTCACCCATTGGTTTTGCAGCCAGGCTGGACTGGGAGCACACACTGAAACAGTCCATGCATGTAGGCTGCTAACTCCCCCAGCCCCTGTTCAGCTTGTGAATTGTGTAATTTTGCCCAAGTCACCTTTTTCTTAACCATGCCAAGCAGAGGGTCAGTACATTTGGAAAAGCAGGACTAACTGTAAAATGGAAACTTGATTCCTGGATGCTGAACTAGCATTTGGAAAGCATTAGAGAGTCTTAAATTTAATCGCAGTCTTGTCATCTGTGTCCTGGCTAGAGGCCAAAGCAGTGGGTGGTGAATTGATGTGGCCTTTAAAGTCTCTTCTCCCACCTGTTTTCTTTCCCAGATTCACCATATCAATGCCAACTACTTCCTGGATATTACTTCTATGAAGCCTGAAGATGTTGAAAGCAGCATCTTTAGTTTCTCAAGCAATTTTGAAGACCCTTCTACTGCAACTTACCTCCAGTTCCTGAAAGAAGGACTGCAAAGAGCAAAACCATACCTGTAAACCTAAAAACTGTGGCACCTGCCAGCCCACGGAGGTGGCCAAAGACATCAGAGATCTCTTCATTACAGCAGTTCTTCCTCCTCTTCATTGCCAGGCATTGCTGTTACGATGCAGACAGTCCCAGGCCTGGAGCTTTGTGCCCAGTGATCTAGGACTGTTGAAGAGGCTCCGTTTGGAGTGACACCGGTGTCCGTTTACATAACCTGCCCTTTGGAGTTCAGGCGATTTTTTTACAGGAGTGAGAATACTTGAATCTGTAAACACTATGTACATGTACCTTGGTGTGTCACCAGCCTTCATATTTTTCCACCTCCTGTTGAAACTCTCTGTGGTGAGATTCCTGTGACAACTCTACCAAGTGTCACCTGCAGACACACGATCTCAAGGACCGGCTTTGTGCTGGATCACGGAGAACGGCACTGCCATCACGGCCACGCGCTCGGGGCGAGTCCCTCTGCCCTGCGGGCGAGGAATCCAGCACGGGTGGAAAGGCCTTTCCTGTTATCCAAGGTTCTCACGCCTCCTCTCCAAGGGCAGCTCTGAGGTTAATGGCTGTAAACTATTCCATGGATGGATCCCAGCTCTTCAGGATGGCATTTATTGACCGCAGGGGCACCAAATGCTTGTGTGGGGACTCTAGCTGCTAGTGTGTAGACATGCAAGTTGGGGGAGTCTGTCTAGAGGCCTGAGCTCTGAAGTAGCCTCTTTCCAAACCCCCTCCAGACGTGTGTCCTGGGGGTCATGGTGCAAGACCTGTCTCACTCAGCCGGGTTCTTTGTGTCCGAGGGAGATGGTGAACTGCCATGGTGAAAATAGCCGTGGAGAACCAGGCCCCGTGTTGCAGCTCGGAGATGCCAGGTGAGGAGGAGGGTAAAGCTCGTTATTTCCACCAGTGCAGTGTGAGCACAGCACGTTACAGGACGGGCTGGTGAGTGGTGACCCCATCCTGTACCCAGCACTGCTCCCACCCAACACACTCAGAGCTTTGTCCTCCCTGGTTTCTCCTATCCACATTCATTTGGAGAGTTTCCACTAAACAGATCACACTAAGCAAGCGAACCATGACCAAGTTCCCTTTGGGAAGGGTTTAGGTTTACACTTGCCCTAAGACCATTAGCTGGTTGGGAACTGAGCCATTTTAGAAGCCAGTATTATAAAGAAACTTCCACAAACACTTTCCAAAGAAGAAGTTGTTCAGACAACGTTGACCATCATCTGTGACCACCTTGAGCAGTCAGTTCTGTCTGGAACACGTGCTTGGCTACAGGGTAATTTGGGGAAGAGTGTAAGTGAAGCAGGTTTAAAGCATTTTCCCGTAGCTATGTGAGACAGAGCATCTCCACAGGATGGCTGCAAACAGCCATGGTTGTAGATGTTTTCCCTGCTCTCTAAAGCACAATTTAGTTGGACCAAATCAAAACAGAGAAAAGTCTTTCTTCAAAGGGGCATTTTCATTCCTGGAATTCACAGCCAGGAAGGAACCAGGGGTCTCCTCTTTCACTGTCCTGGCCCCAGCTCTTCTGTCTGTATCCACGGCTGGAGGCTGCGCTGAGCTTAGACGGACCTTTGGGCTTACCCAGTATAGCTCCACTAATTGCTGCAGTGAAATTAATTACCCCTGGGACGTTTCTCAGTATCAGCTTTATAACTATGCATTAGCTCTGCACTTTTCCAGCCCTCCGAGGGGCCTGCAGCGATCACGCACTCGGCTCTGGCAGTTTTCAGGGGTGGCTCCGGGAAGCGTTGACGTCTCCAGGCACTGTTGGGACCGACCTGCAGCTGCTGCGTCCCGTCGCAGTCCCTGGCTCCTTTGGAAGCGCAGTTTTTGTGCAGAGCTGCCTTTCTGGCTTTTACAAAGCTGCTTTTGAGGTATTTTTGTTGCACCTTTCTTTATCCCCTCAGTAAGAGGCCTAAGACATGCAAGCCGTGTTGTGAGCTGCACCCGGCCAGAGAATTCGTGCTGTTAGGAGCCCTGGAAACACCTTGATTTTGCTCCCACAAACCAGAGCCCTGAACAACTTGCACAGCCTGGAGGCACTCACAAGTTCTCCTGGGCTGTGGGAGTGCAAGGGAAAGGGATTAACCCAAAGTGTGGTCCAAATCCCGCTCCTTCAAGAGCAAAGAGTTTGGGGATCCCATGTTCACTGGAACAGGCTGCCCAGAGAGGTTGTGGAGTCTCCTTCTCTGGAGATCTTCAAACCC